TGGATAGACAACTAGACTAGAATATGAATAGACAATTAGACTAGAATGTTAATAGACAACTAGACTAGAATATGAATAGACACCTAGACTAGAATGTGGATAGACAACTAGACTAGAATATGGATAGACAACTAGACTAGAATATGGATAGAGAACTAGACTAGAATGTGAATAGACAACTAGACTAGGATATGGATAGACAACTAGACTAGAATATGAATAGACAACTAGACTAGAATATGAATAGACAACTAGACTAGAATATGAATAGACAACTAGACTAGAATATGAATAGACAGCTAGACTAGAATATGAATAGACAACTAGACTAGAATATGGATAGACAACTAGAGTAGAATGTGGATAGACAACTAGACTAGAATATGGATAGACAACTAGACTAGAATGTGAATAGACAACTAGACTAGAATGTTAATAGACAACTTTATTTCCAAAAATATGGAATTATATTGAATTAGAGCTGAAAGAAACTAAATCTGCAAAATCGTTTAAAAGAAAAGTCGCCAAGATCTCTTTAGATAGTTATGCAAATTATATCTGTAAAAAAAACATAAAACTGTGTATCATGTGGATAAACTTAGTCTTTACCATCTTGATCACCCTGTAGTTCATAAACATGATTTTAATAACTTAAATTACCCTCTGTTCCAACCCTTTCGCTGAGTATCCTCCCTTTACCATATACTCCCTCACCTCCTCCTTACCATTTTTCTGATTTATCATCATTCTTATGTTTAAAATGTACAATGTACATTGTTTTTATCTGCAATTCTCATTCGTTTATAGTGGGCCAACCAATTAAAACAACTTACTCTGGTTAGGCGGGTCCAAACTACATAGAAAATTGTGATTTTTTTATTTGTATTATCTCGTGCTTTGTAGTTGAATAAAAATATGAAAATATGAAATGAACTAGACGAGAATATTAATAGACAACTATACTAGAATATGAATAGACAATTAGACTAGAATATGAATAGACAACTATACTAGAATATTAATAGACAACTAGACTAGAATATTAATAGACAACTAGACTAGAATATGAATAGACAACTATACTAGAATATGAATAGACAACTAGACTAGGATACGAATAGACAACTAGACTAGAATGTTAATAGACAACTAGACTAGGATACGAATAGACAACTAGACTAGAATGTTAATAGACAACTAGACTAGAATGTTAATAGACAACTAGACTAGGATACGAATAGACAACTAGGTTAGAAATAGAAAACTAGACTAGAATGTTAATAGACAACTAGACTATAATATAAAAAGAGTATTTAAAAAAATAGTTGAATAAAAATTTTAATATTTGGTTAAGTTTAGGAAATGGCATTATATACTATTGGAACATAATTCCAAATTTGTAGACTTACCTTACCAATAAAACAAATACGTATCCTTTTCAGTTTAAAAGCTTATCAAATGGTTCGAGGTTGCGTGATTTCACCCAATTATCCATAAAAAATGTCAGTCTACAGGCCTCAAAAGATATAATTATGTTTAGTGATGGAGATGAGCTAGCGAGTGATCTAACAAGACAACTGCGCCAAGCTACTGTAATGCTGAAATCAGCAGTTCTATTCTCGAAGGAATTAAACATTTCAAATCATTTCCTGGAATCAATTCATATCAAATTTTGGCTAATGACATGAATGAAAAAAGAAACTAATTGAAAGACCACAAACCAAATAGATTCTAGTTCAATAGATGGCAACGTAGAATTTGAGCACTCTCAGTACAGTTGTATTCTTACGTCACAAGTGTCAACTCAGTTTTTGTGTCCGACAAAATTATTAATAATAGTGATAATTTTGGAATAAAATGCTTATCTTACAGTAAAATAAGTGCAATTTTATGTGTTCTTTATTTTCTGTTTCTACACTTTATTATTTAATCTTGGAAAACGTGTCAACTAATGTGAGAAAATTTAGTTTATTTTTTTATTTGACACTTGTGACGTCGTGTATAATTGATCCATTTCTCTGATGCCACCTATTGTACTTGATAATCTATTTGCCACAAACTGTGTAAAAAGATTAATGATACGCAGATTTGATTTCTTAAAAGTTTTTGTTAACACTTGTTCTTTATTCATTTAACATGCATTAGAAAAATTATTTTGAATTATTTTTTTATTTTTTAAATTCATTTAGTGTACTGGTTAATGTTTTTTCTGCAGAAGAGACTTCATTTTCATATTCTTGCAGATAATAGAAACCTTTACTCTAGGCAATTCACTTTATTATAAATATCATTTTTAATCATAATTATTTTTGTTGTTATTGTTATTTTTATTATTATTAGTAGTAGTAGTATTTTCAATAATATTATACATTTCTTATATTCTTTATCATGATACAGAACAAACGGCAATGTTTAAAAAATACTAATGTTAAAATTTAATGAAAGCACAGTTTAAATTCTCCAAATCATCAAATTATCTCGGCATGAAAATGCGCAAATAAATGAAATGTGGTTGTTATGTGCATATTGTGCAAGCTCCGCCCATGTCACATAAATAGCATAGGCATAAATGGGCGCGTTGCAGTGAAGTGTATAATTTTCTCATAACACCGACACCATCGTCTTTTAATAATAGTTAATTTTCATCTAAAAATTAATGAATATGATTTAAGGACAAAAAATAGTTTTTAAAATTCTAACTCTAATTCTAAATGAATTTTAACTTATCATGAAAAAAAAATTAAGTTCGATTAAATTGAAATAAAATTAAAGAAAAATTTTATTTTTATTTATAAAAGATGTGGTAGTCCTATAATTTGGTTTGAAAATTAACCTACTCCAGGTTTAGGAGATATTTAGGAATTCTATTAAATATTTAAAACTTTAACAACTTACTCAGCTAATTCCCCAGATATTATAAAGTGCAATTAAAAGTTTGTTCCCCCCCCACTTTTCCACTTCATAACACCGCATATGGTAATAAAAAATGATGTTGTTTCAACTAAATTTTGTATCCAATTTTAATTATTTTTTGTTTGGGATTAAAAAAAGTCATATTGAGCAGTTTTCTTTGATTAGATCACCCCTCCCTTCCTCCTTCCTCCTCCGGCTTAATTTTTTGTAATGATAGTGTGTAGTCTCAACAGTTTATTTTCCTACAGAATGGGACAAATTTTTCACTAATTCTTTGTCAAAAAAACGCTTTGTTTAAATTGGAAAACACCTTGATTAGTAAGATTGTTTACAGATATTGGTAACAGTTCATGACAATTTTTTATTCATTTCCTCCGAAAGCGAAAACACTGCAATTGCAATGTTTTCTATAAATTCTTAAAATTCTGAATAATTCTACATTTGAACCCAGAGCTAATCTAAGGGATATCTCCATCTTGTTTGAGCATTAGCAGCCAAAATTTGATCGGAAGGTTACCGTTTGAAAAGAATATGACCCTCTAATATTTAAGGGTCACTTGAAAAATATCTTAAGTCCCTTTAAGAGATCCCCCTAGTTGGTTCTAAATCTTCTATATATCCTGCAGTATTGACTCTTGATTCAGATCATAATTCTCCAAGATATATTCTCAAACTTGAAATTCGAAACATAAATCCTAGGACACGCCATCTCTATTCTGATAACCCAGGGGTCCAGGGGTACAGGGGGAACCAGAAAAAGTAGCTGAAGAAATAGTAATAGTTATAACCGTAAGTGCCCCAGCGGCGAACCTTTAAAAAAATCTGACAACTCTCCTTAAACTGCGATGATTTAAACCATATCTTTTCAAACTGATGTTGTAATCCTTTGATATCTAGCAGTATTCATAGTCTAAAACATCAATAGTCTGCTACATAAGAATCCTAGGATATAAGAATTAGAAAATTATGATCAATTCCTTAGAGTTTGGGATAGTATGTAAAAAGAGCCTTTGACTTTTGTTTTATGAAAATTTAATAAAATAAAAAACTTAGATTTCTCTAAATAATGGCATCCCTTTTAACTAGGAGAAAAAATATTGCGTTTTGAATAACAAAATTTAAAGCTTCTTTTTATTTCACTTTAAAATCAGTTAGATTTAAAACACCCTGGAGTGTTGGGGAGAGAGATTGAGTCAGTAAAAAGTTGAATGTAACGACATTTTTTTCTATATATTGGGAAATCCGGCTATGTACTGGAGGGAGAGAGATGCCACAGGGGGGGGGGGGGTGATCTTACAATTTGTTTCTCTTCTATGAAAGCGTATTGAATATTAATAAACAAAACATATTAGAACATCGTTAAACCATGTAATGGTTAAAAAAATAAAAAAAAATAAAAGTGTACTGCAGATTAGTAAACAAAACAAATGGATGGCCTGAAAACTACAGAAGAAAACTAAAATTCTCAATGCATAAAGTTTGGTATCCAGAGGTGAGTTTTATTTGAAATATGAAAAAAAGTCTTCTTAGGTTCTCATTTGAAACCAAGTTTGCTATTTTTTGTTCCTTTAAGTGCTTGAATTTTCTCTTTGTACATTAGCAAACAATAGAAATAAATGATTTTGCAATTTTTTCTGTTTTTACTTCGAAGGATTTTAAAAAATTCAACATGACTATTTTTGAGGTTCATTCTAAGGGACTGTCATTTGTAATATTAAGTGACCCTCCATTCTGAGGGGGCAAAGCCCGATTCACAGCGATAACCGTTAAACATACCAAGCTTGTAAAGTGTTTTATTCTACACAATTCCCTGCATTAAATTTCTGTAAAAAATTCCGTTTTACAGAGAAATCTCAATCGAAAATAATGAAAATGTTGAGTAAAAACATCAAAGGAATTGAGTCTTTGCCACAAACTCTGATTTTCTAATCACTATATTTTTGGAACAAAATGTTGTAGACCTTAGATATTTCAAACTATGAATTCTGTTAGATCAAGTAATCTGAGTTTGAAATATCAAAGGTTTACAACATCGGGTTCTAAAGATATTGGGGTTTAAACATTTGATTTTGTTCCAAAGACTCAATTCCTTTGTTCAGACAAATATCTATAGGTTACTCCTTTATTATACTTTCGCGTGAGCATGTTTTGAATATAAATAGCCCTCCCATTAGGTACAAAAGCGGGCACACTGCCTGAATGACAATGTTTCCTGTAAAAAACTAAATCTTTGTTTTGACCCATTTTCATTTGTCAGATTTTGATAATTTTGAGTTTTTTTTTTTGAAAGGAAACGGGTTGCACAAGTTTTGAAAAGAAATTTTAGCAAATTACTTGCATACAACACGTCAAAGGAAATTTGCACTTTTTTAGTTTCAAAAATGAATATTTTATCATTTTTGGCCTTTTTCTTTTTTTGCAAACATTTTAGTAACCAACTTGATTTTCGAAAATTTTTTTTTACACTTTTGCAATATTTTTGCAGATGCTAAAAGTAGAGCGTAAGAGCTTTTCAATGATGTATTATTTGTCACATTTAGACATCAAACACGTGATTTAGAGGTGGGAGGGGGGGGGATCAAATTAACCCTCTCCCCCTGCGTATCGTGGTTTTCAAGTACCCCAGCAGGGATAGGGTTAAAAAAAATTAAAAAAATTCGTAGAAGTTATTTACTCAATTATTGAGACATCTGGATTAAAGTTTTCTATTCAAAATGATAAAATATTAAATGATAGCGGTTGGGATCAAATTTTTCTTCTTTTTTTCTGTTTACAAATCTTAAGCTTAATATCTTGTATTAAAATGGTTTTAAATGTGGTGCATGTATAAATTATTGAAATATTTATATAATTATTTCTATATTTAACTTTTTTTTAATAAAGAAGGAATCCAATAAAAAATACATCCTTTTAAATATGTTTAAAATTATTTGAATAAAATATATTTTTATAGCGAGGTAAATTATGGGGTACTGCTATTTTCTTATTATGAATACTTTATAGCTCTGCTAAAGAAGGTTAACAGCATGTTTTAAACATGCCCGGTATGAAGTGGAAAACAATTTAAATATTTCTGAACATTTTAAATTATTGTTTAGGGTCGAGATGATATGCGAGCTCTGTTCCGAGTGTGCGCTACTGAACGTCTTTTTGTTCCGGACATATTTCCGACATTAGACAAGGAATTCGGATATTTTCAGTTTTCATCATTTAGAATTTAATTTTTTCTTCTTTCAATATTTGAAAGATAACCCAAATTATAATGAATCTTTTACAATAGATTAATTATAGATTAATTAAAAAAAAGTTTGAAATTTTTTATCTCGAGTTTTAGCTAAACTCTTTAATTTTCACTCTTTTGCTTTACATAGAAGTCACTTTTATTATCTTATTTTCGACAAAATAATAAAAAAAAACCAGTTGAAGTACCTACAGTGCTGTGTTATATTTTTTATGTTTTATTTGGAACTTTAAAACCAAGCTAAGAACATTCCTGTGAGAAAGAAATTGAGTCTTTGCCACAAACTCTGATTTTATAATCACTATATCTTTAGAAACAAATGATGTTGTAGACCTTAGATATTTCAAACTATGTATTCTGTTAGATCAACCAGTCTGAGTTTGAAATATCAAAGGTTTACAACATCGAGTTCTAAAGATATTGAGGTTTAAATATTTGATTTTGTTCCAAAGACTCAATTTCTTTGAGGAAAATCGAAGGATTTTTTAAAATATTATCTTACGTTCAAACAATCAGACACCAGACAGAGATTACTTATTATATCTATATAACAATATTTTGAATTGTGTTAAAGGCAATATATGTCGACACAGATCTGATATTCATGCGACCCGTTGAACATCTTTGGAACGAGTTCGACAACTTTGACCAGAACCAGGTCAGTATTTTCTTATGTTTAAAAAACTATTATTTTGATCTACAATAGTAGCATTTCTATTTTTTTCCGAATCATTTGGGATCGGAAATCGGATACCACAAGTACACAGAGCTTGGTTGGAATGCTGAAAAAGTTAACGGGACGATTATTCTGGAACAATTCCATTTGAATCGACCAATAAACTTGTTTAAGTTGTAACATGGTACATCTATATTATTTTGAAAGGAAATAAAAAATCAAAACAAAATTAAACGCATAGAGAACGAAATTAGGAAATAAGATTTTTGTGAGGCCTCTTAAAAATCAGGAAACCTTGATTTAATCTAAAACGTTGGGAGTCACGTTTCTCAATATACAATATTATAGCTTCGCATTCCACTTTCCACTTTCGCCGATTTGCATGTATAAAATTTCGCATTAAAAATAATATATATCGACAGCTTTCTCAAAGCAACATTTTTCATCTTTAACCATCTTTAAACCTTCCCTTTGGTGATGTGAGTTAACAAAGGAAGTCTTAGGTCCGTTCGGATCAGCCGTTTTGACGTTTATTGGATAAAAGGATACATACAGTTGGATAAAAGGATACATACAGATAAGCAAAGTGTATAAATAGGTCGATTGTACATTTTAAGGGTTGTTCAATTGTAGATATCTGCAATGTCCCCATGCTTGTATCATTACGGTTCAGAGAGAAATAAAATTCCTTTCTACGGAGAGACTGGTCTTAATGCTGGCATAATGCATATGGATCTAGACAGGTTTATATTTATCTTTTATAATTATAATTAAGCAGAAACTTTTTTATTTAAATCAAACAATCGTTAATTAGATGATAAACATTCATTCTATCCATAAGATATTTAATTTTTTTGCAGAATGCGAAATATAGATGATGGGTGGACTAATACTAACCTAGCAATGTTCGATAAATACAAGGTAGGTGAACTTATTGCAAAACTCCGTTTTTGAATGAAAGCTTTATAAAAGCGAATTTACTTTGTTAAAGTTTGTTCAGGTTGGGCCTATCCTTTGCGTAAGTTTACCTAATTGTTATATAAAGCTTTTACATTTCGTTTTTTAACTTTTTGTAGGCGGATGAAGTTTTAATTATAAAGTATAAAAAACTCTGTAAATTTAAAGATGGTTGCATTATTGTCCAAACCGCGATTAATTCAAATTGAAGAAACTAAACTCATTAAACTCTTGAATGAATTTGTAGAGTTGATTTTCGTCGGTTCAAATTCGAATCCTGAATCTTTCCCTTTGAGTTGGTGTTTTCAATTTGAACAGGACGTAGGTCCCTGGATTTTTACCAGGGTGAACTAAGTAAACAAATTAAGCGGGGTAAATTAATTGAGCATATAGTAATGTGATGAAGTTTGAGGGTAAATTAATATTTAACGACAAAGATCGACTCAAATTCGACTTTTAAAGTGATTGTTGTGTTTTTTTTTCTCCAAGGACTGTGTCTAACTGATTTAAAATTTTGCTCAAATGTTTATAAAATAATGTACACAATTTTGAACTATTATTCGAAATTAATGCTCAAAATAATCGATATTTAACTTAAAAGTGCGGACTGCTCAGCTGGTAGTTAAAACTCTTTTCTCCGAATTTTTGACGAAAATATGCCAATTGCACCGCGAAAACAGAAAGAGTTTAATTCATAAACATTTAAAAGTTGGCAGCTCTGAATTCTCATCTAATTAGGATTTATGTTTAGAGTCGAATAAAGTTGGCAGATCAGGATATTCTAAATATTCTTTTCCATTTCTATCCGGAGAAAATTTATGAACTACCCTGTCACTGGAACTACAGGGTGTGGCAGTGTAGTCAGGTAACAAAGTTTTATACATGTACAAGCTGAAGGGCCCGGCGTTGCCCGTGAAAAAAAAATTTGAAAAATCCTTTTTGAAAAAAAAATATTTTGAAAAAAATATTCGAATTTTTTAGCCAATAACACCCCCTGGCCACCCATGAGTGTCCACAAAAATGTTCAGCCTAATCGGTTCAGTCGGTTGGCCGGCTATAGGCAACTTATATATATATACGAATGTCTTGTTTTATTATATAAATGACTATGAGACTAGATTTAATAAATGGGAGAACACTGAAAACCATGAGATGCACTCTCCCGCTAAAATCGAGCAATTGACATTACTCTTTTCAAACCTAATCTGGAAACAAGCGCGTTCGATTTTTAAATGTAAACTAAAAATCAATCCCTTTAATATGCTAAACGTTACAGGGTGAAAATATCAATCTCTTTAATATGCTAAATGTTACAGGGTGAAAATATCAATCCCTTTAATATGCTAAATGTTACAGGGTGAAAATATCAATCTCTTTAATATGCTAAATGTTACAGGGTGAAAATATCAATCCCTTTAATATGCTAAATGTTATAGGGTGAAATTATCAATCCCTTTAATATGCTAAATGTTACAGGGGGAAAATAAATGTGCTTCTGCCGCTGATGAAGGGGTTTCTATACTGCACGGAAACGCCCTGGCGTTTGTAAAGGTAAATTGTTCAATTAAATGCAGATAAAAACAGATTTTAATATTTTTAGAAATAAAAATAAAAATAAATTTATATTCATATATTTTTGCACACTAGTGTCCAAAACTTTTATATTTTATACTATGAATTCTTTTAGATCAAATATGAAAGGTTTACACCATTCAGATGCAATGATTTGAAGATACAAATTTAAAGTTTGTGGCAAAAACTCTTTTTACTTTCTTGTTGCACTTTTAAAAATTTTGTAAAATCTCCAAAATAAGATAAGTAGCTTTGAAAATATGGTTTATGTATATGTCACACTTCACTTTTCAAAATATTAAAAATATTTAAATTTAATTATATAAAGTTCTTTGTTCTGGTTACAAAGAAAACCAGAGTTTGTGGCAAAGAAGCAATTCCTTTGAACCGTCACTTTTTATAAATAAAACTGATTTAAAACAAGGTTTTTGAAAATCAATGAGAATTTTATCCCCCTTGGACATTATTTATTGAGCCTGAAACATAGTTGTAAATATTCATATCTCCAGGGACATAAAAATATTTATATCCCTAGGGTCACGAGATGAAAATCCAGAAGATATTTGAATCGTTTGAAGGGTTTGAGTTGGGTAAAGATAAACCTGGACAGCTCTTTGTTCAGATCAAAGCAGGTCTTGCTCAGGTAAATTGCATTATAACATTGGGTAAATTGAACTTTATAAATATATATATCTAAAAGAATGATCAGGATCTGTGTAAGGTTTTTTAGATCACTTTTTGCTATTTTTTGTAAGGTTTATAAGATTTCTTTTTGCTAATTTGTGTAAGGTATATAAAAATACTTTTTGCTACTTGCCAGTGATCTTTTCCTTTTTAACATCACTATAACACTTTACTCTTTATTGCTGTTGTCTAACAAATAAAAGGGGAAGTTTACTTTTTCCCGTAGATAAAATATTTCTCAAACATGTCAAAAATTCAACATGTATTTAAATCACATTTCCATTTTGATATGGTAATCCTTTTTAACTTTACCTCTTTAGGTTGACCATGAAGATATGCCCAGTAAATGTAAAGATGTTCCTGGGATTGACTCTATTCTACTGAAACAGCTGAAAAACCATATTGTAGGAGCAAAGCTCTCAAAAAGATTCTAATACTAATATTCATACATTTTAAAATATTAGTATTGGGTGAGTCTAGAGAACATGTAAAGCTTGCAGATGAACGGGCTTAATTTAAGTTCCTTGCTATTCCTATATTTTTTTTACTTTTGCATGTTTCACTTTTGATTTCTCTGCAATTGCAGCTTTAACATATTATTCACATTTTGGCTAAAACAATTCATAATTTAATATTTGTTTTCCAACTTTTGTACGACGACTTGTTAAGTATAACAAGCTAATGCTACTTTTTCAATATTGAAATTAGGCTAAATATAAATATTCCTCGAATTCTTAAAGTAGTCATAATTTTCTGGATAAATTCTCAAATAGAATTCTAGCAGTTTTATCTTAATCATGGATTTACTCAGATTTAGACTGAACTTAAACACAACCTTAACTGTTGTCATTTTTCTCTGAGATGTTTAGAAAAATAATTAGAGTCAGAATTCAATGTATTTGAGTCGAATTTCAAATCTGCCAAAAACCGGTTTCAATTGAGCGCCGGCTTAAATCTGAAACATTGAATACAATTGTAAGTGGAACCAACCATATTTGAGCCGCATCTCAAATTTAAGCTGCGTCTCAAATTCTGTAAATTCGGCCTGAGTAACTATAGGTTTAATTGAACTTGTTAAGAATTTGCAGAAATTTGTAATTTTTCAAAAATTCGAAAGTTTACAAAACAATATAAAACATAAATTTATTGCACATATTAATTTGAACATGTGAACTTTTACCCTATTTCAACCTTCAGAAACATGGTTAAATTTTTAATAACTCTTTACTTTTTAAAAAGAAAACATTGTAACATTTATTAGAATAGCAGTTGTGACATGTATTATGCATAAATAACAAAATCATTTTATATATCTTCTTTAAAATGTCATGTCTAAAATTTCTACAAAAAGTCTGGTCTATGAATGTCCAGACGCCAAAATTTGCGTTTGTTTGTTACAGTTATTACGTTAATAACCCAGTGTAACAAAACTTTCGGTAAAATTTGTACACAGCTCTACGTTTAGTTTTTGTGTTTATTAGCTAAAAAATGTGATTTAAGATTTAGATATATATATATATTTAAACTCTTTACCGGTGATTTTAATGCAGTGCTAAAATAAACAGTAATAGTAATAGTTGTTTAAAATATTTTTATTCATGGTTATAATTATTTTGGTATAATAATTCAGTGCATCGACTTAATATATTCTGACAATTTCCACTTGTAAATAGGACTGGGCACGTTCCAACTTGTTTTCAGCCGTTTTGTTAACGGTTAGTTTCAACCGTTAAAAAATAAAAATTTCAGTTAGCCGTTAATATTAAAGGTAAGAACGGAACGTTCGTTTCGTTAACGTCATTTTCCGTTGTTTTTTAGTTAACAATCTCAATTTTAATAACGGCATTAACAGGAATTTTTTAACAATCGTTAACGGCTCTAGCCCTTAATGGTACCGTTATTACAAAATTAGCGGCGAAAAAAACGGCACAGCCTTTAACAGTATATTACAGTATTAATGGCGATAACGGCGAAAAAAAATTCGTTAACGGTTTATAAATACAGAAGACGACATTTAAAAACAGAAACGGCAAGTCCGTTTCATTAACGGTTTAAAAATTGAAGGTTTTTGCCGTTCGTTAACGGACTCTTCCGTTAACTTTCGAAAACCTCCGTTTCGTTAACGGAACTTTGCCCAGCCCTACAGTTGTAAACCTTAAATTTACACCGTCCATTGCACCCAAGTTATTGCTCAATTAAAGTATTTTAAGCAGTAAATATTGCGGGATTCTTAGAACTTTAATACAAAGTATTGTGGCGTTTTTTTCATTCATTTACAATTTATTATTGTATTATTTATATCTAATTTTAACATTAAAAATGTTTAACTCCCAATGCTAAATATAAAATATAATAGGTAAAATAAATTATATTTGATAATTTAATACTTTTTAATAAACTATGCATAGTATGATAAATGATAAGTTTCCTTGTACAGATTACTTGTATCCACGGAGTCCGAATTTAATGAAATTGAGTCGCTTCTCAAATCCGCCAAAAACCGGTTTAAATTGAGCGTCGGCTTAAATTTTGCAACATTGAATAAAGTTTTAAGTGGAACTAACCATATTTGAGCCGCATTTAAGATTTAAGCCTCTGGCCAAATTCTTTAAATTCGGCCTCAGGTTCTCTAAATATTGTTAATTGATGCTCTAGAGCCATAATTTAGAACCGATTAATTTCTTCTTGTGGACGACATCAATATTTGCTACAGTCCAAATATTCGACCTAAAATATACGTTTGTAGGTTTTATAATAATTATTAATAAGCATTATTAAATACAAACAATTTGTTATTTATTACAATATTGTTTGCACATATATTGGTTGGAAAATAGAAAATACTTTTTAGTTTTAAAAAAACGAACATCGGGTAAAATTGGCATCAACTACTGAGAAAGTATTATTATCACGCACCTCTGACCCTTTAGTAAAGGTAAATTCAACCTAAAGTCTGACCGCGTCAACCTTGTTGCACCGGCTAGTCCTATTGAGAGTCTGCTTTTTTTACCCAATGTCCGGGCGATACAGTACAAACTGGGACTGGGAAGGTTGACCCGGCTCGGAAATTCAAATGAACTACGGCTGCCGGTGTTATATAAAGCATCAGAGCATTTTCCCAAATTTAAACGTGTACACAATACACATGCAATTAGCTATTTATATGAGACAAAATTTTTGTGCGATAATATTTCATGATTTTTAGTATATGAATATTTGCTATTTTAATAAAAACAAAAATAGGTTTAGAGTTGAGGTTCCGGCAAACCTTCTCGGTGAAAAGAAATATCACGCGCCATCAAGAGAAGTTTTTAAAATACAATAAGCGTATGCATTTGCAAAACAAACTATAAAAGGTAATTTCACTGCTACCGGGAAAAATAGTAAATGTGAAAAGCTTTGACTTTTGATCAAAATTTGACCATTTAAACATAATGTTGTTTTTTCTTCAATACTTCTTTGTTGCCGGATGTGTTTTAATGAAACGATAGAATAGAACAAATTTCTAAACTTAAAGATTGTTAAATAATTGATCAAATTCTAAGAAACCCCTAACTCATCTATCCCTGGTTAGTCCAGGGTGCCCTGTATCTATATATCTATCTTTCTATCTGACATAGCATGTTGCAATCTTCTAATGATTTGCTCCTGTTCAGCTGTGCAGGGGGGAGTCAAGTTTAAAAATTTATCTAATGGTTTAAGTTTGCTTCTGTCACCACAATGGAACACTTTATAAGTGGGGGAAATGGTTCCGTAGAATTTTCTTAGAACTTCCTCTCCGGACATCAATTTTCAATCTTCGATAGAAAGTTTTCTTCTGTGTTTTCTAACTTTTAAAAATGAAATGTACCCTGTATATATATTCCATTCTTCCTTACTTTTTCTTATTCTTTCTAGCTGATAGATTCAGAAACAAAGGAATTGTATAATCCCGATATCTTTGCAACCTGATGATAAAAACCTTTGATGTTACAAGCCTAGATTGTTTGATCTAACAGAATTTCCAGTTTAAACATCCAAGGTCTAAACGAAATTGTGTTGCAGGGTTGCAGATGTAGGGTTTATAAAATCAGAGTTTTTGGCAAAGCCTCTTTTCCTTTTAGGGTTAATGTAGGGACAGGAGACGTATGACGAACTTCTTTTTTGCAGAAACGCTTGAAATTGCTGACAAATTTGTTTCTTTCATGGAAATGTTCATTTTGAAAATTTACTTTCTAAATCAGATTTATCGTGTAAATACAATCTCTGAGGTTGGAAATTTTGTGTAAAGTAACGTAATCTTGAACTCTTGATCTTGATATCTAAAATTTGCAATTTGAGGGAAAATACTTGACTCCTTAATTTATCCCTGCAAGGTATGACCACCACAGGAATTTTATCAATTCGCAGGACACAAGAGTATTTTAAAATTGTTTAAATATGTGAATTGTGGAGCAAATGAGAAGTATAACTATACCATCTATCTAGCACTAATGACCAAACAGTTCGTAATTATGGATACTATACATTATACAACACAACCTAGGTACTATTTAACCCAACCTTCTTTTCCAAGGAAAACTCGTAGAAAAGACTAATGTTTACTCATTTAGAGCCTTAGAGGTGGGAACAACACCTTTTTTTGTTTGAAATACGAATAAAGAAGGTAATATGTTAAAAATGGAAATAAACTAGGCTTTAAGGGCGCTTCGCGCCCAACTTCTATTTAAAATGTGAACATGTTCTTTTTGTTTACATTTTAAAACAAAGAAGAAAAACATTCTGCGGATTTAAAAAAAAAATTCGAGGATTTTCAAGAATTTAAGCTTTTTAATTTTTATCATTCATAAACCTTCCCTGTGGTCACGTGATTTCCCACCAAAAATTTGGGCCCGATCGGTTCAGCCGTTTTGACGTTTATTGGATACAAACAAACAGACAGACAAGCCAAGTTTATATATAGATTTCAGACTTTATATACAACTTTAAACATTAAATCGTAGAAGTTAAATTGAAAATTGCATCTTTAATGCTGTGGCATAATTGTAATTTAAAGCGACCTTCCATGCAAAAATGATACTGCCCGATTTGCAATGTTACCCTTAAAAGCTTTGATCAAGTCAGAATTATAAGTTTTTATTTATTTTAACTGTTTCACTATTTAACTGTTTATTTTCACTTGTGGTGTGATTAAGCACTTTTCCAGTTAAACAAAACAACACTATTTTCAACATTTCTGATTAGATTAAGGTTTCAAGACTATTTTCCACATTTCTGATCAGATTAAGGTTTCAAGACTATTTTCCACATTTCTGATCAGATTAAGGTTTCAAGGCTATTTTCCACATTTCTGATCAGATTAAGGTTTCAAGGCAATTTTCCACATTTCTGATCAGATTAAGGTTTCAAGGCTATTTTTCACATTTCTGATCAGATTAAGGTTTCAAGGCTATTTTTCACATTTCTGAACAGATTTAGGTTTCAAGGCAATTTTCCACATTTCTGAACAGATTAAGGTTTCAAGGCTATTTTTCACATTTCTGAACAGATTAAGGTTTCAAGACTATTTTTCCACATTTCTGAACAGATTAAGGTTTCAAGGCTATTTTTCACATTTCTGAACAGATTAAGGTTTCAAGGCAATTTTCCACATTTCTGAACAGATTAAGGTTTCAAGGCTATTTTTCACATTTCTGAACAGATTAAGGTGTCAAAGGCTTTTTTCACATTTCTGAACAGATTAAGGTTTCACTGCAATCAGACATTGGTATCTTCGCCATGGAGGGTCACTTAGAATTAAGATTATAATTTGCTCTGGGATTTGACACTTAGATATTTTTAGGTCTTTAGAAAAGCTATGTTTTCTTTTATACCGGATGTTTTAAACAAATCATCTCTTGAAACGATGTCCAGCCCTAACAGGCTGCTGTACAAGAAAATATTCATTTAATTTGTACAGTTCATGTATATTGTCCACTTAGCCCTATTCCTGGCCCATATATGGTTACCGACAAAGGAAGATATTTTGAAGACGACCTTTAATATGACAATCTGAAGGTTTAATATTTGTTGTCACCTAAGTCTCATTTTTTACGGATCACTCTGTAGATTTTCATAATTAATTGTGGTATGTCTACTGATTTGTTTGGTTTAATTTGGTTTGAGTTCATTTTTCTCTTTACATTTAAATCCATTTTGTTCTAGTTTCAGAATACTTTCAATTCCGTTCAACAAAATAAATATTTGAGTTAAAATAAATTCATTCAATTTAATGCTTGATAAAATAAGGTTGGAGTAAACTTTAATCTAATTTCTGCAACCTTCAGGGAAGCTATCACTGCATGCAGCTTTTTTATCTTAAAGAATAAGCTAGGTTTTTATATATTTTTATGTAGATTGGGGTGTTCCACTTTTAAAGTAATTTGAAAATTTAGTTTCTTTAAATTTTTTCTAGTTAACAATGATCTAAATAGAAACCATTTTTTTAATAGCATTTGAAAAATCGTGAGAGGTTGTGTTATTTTCAAAATTTGTTTGTATGTATAATTTAAAAAAATGCTTTATACTTTTTTAACCAGAAAAGAATCATAGGAAATTAATTTTCAAGATCACCCTTAAAAAAGGAGACAGCATATGTCTCAAAATGTATGAAATCTGTCTATTTTTCACAAAATAAATCCATTAACTTTTTTAACAGTCTAAACTGAAATAAATGATAACTTGTTCACAAATCATGACATCAAAAATTAATCTTAATGTACTTCTTTGGACACAGTTTTTTTCATTCTTGTTCTGCCCTTTCCAATTATATGAAAAAAAATTTTTTAACAAACTCTTAATTCATCAAATAAATAATGTGCCAATCGTTTTGGACACAGTTTTTTAAAGTAAAACTTCTGTTGTTGGTCAGAGATATTTTCAAAAGAATGATTCATCAATGTCACAAATCTAGAAAGTTCTAAACTAAAAAGCTGGTAAATGCAGAGAATGATGAAAGAAGAGGAGATGAGGGGTTGAAGTTAGTTCTGTTTTCAGATAGTTGTAGATATGGTTTATTGGCTAAAATATCGGGCTCTTAATGGACTTTTAGAGATACTGTTCGTCCCAGAGGTTCAGGTTTAGAATCTATTTTACATTTTAGAACCAGGAGTATTTAATGTGTTTGCTAAATGTATTTTGGCTTATTTCATACTTGGTTTAAGGTTTTGATTTACATGGTGCCAAATTTTTGTCCAAAATGAAGAATATTTTTGAATTTCAAAATGTTACAGAAAGTTTACTCTAAAATTTCCAAATATTTTTGAAATACAAAATTCCGTTTTTAGTGCATTTTCCTGGTACAA